TCTTTATTGTTTTGTGTTTGTGGGTTTATGTGTTTGTTTGCCCAGATTGCCATACCAAGTCAAACCCTGCCTTTGTGAATGCTATAGGCATACTCAGTCACAGATTTAATTTGAAGAACCAGTGCCCAAAATGTTGAAATGTAGGGGTTAAACTGGAACTGTGGGATTAAGTAGGAAGCAGCTTGCAAGGGCACAGAAGTCAATGGTTAATTTGGTAGAACTGAAATTGAATAAGGACTTTGGAGCTGAGATATGTGTGCAGGTACAATAAAGCGATAAGGAAACTGCTCCTCCCTTGATAACATGAAAGCTACCACCTCCAAGGCTCAGAGTAGGGAGGCTGACCAAGTATTCTTGACCCTTCCCCAAATGGCCAATTTGGGTTAAGAGAGGGTGAGGAGGCACAGTCTTCCATGGTGGCTATTGTGGAGGGTAGAAGGGAAAGTATCTCTGTTAGTTCAGGTTACCTTTTCCCTAAAAGCAACAAGTGCTAAGATATTCTATTAATAGAGAATTTCTGGGAGTATGGTAGTGCTAAAATGAGGAAGTATTCAAACAAAAGAAGCCAAAAATTTAACAGAATATTTTGGAAGAATAGATATAAAGGATGTGCCAAATAAGGATGTTGTTTCCCAGGCAGACTTTAGGAGTTGAATAAGTCCACATTCTCTATATTAGCCAAATTAATTTGCATCTCTTGGCTCCTACATTTTGGGGAACTGTACCATAGCCCATGCACATGGCTCCTAAGAGAGCAGCCTATTTAAATAATTTGACCCTGTACCCTGGACTAAGAATGGGCCATCAAGATAAGCTGTAAAATATGAGACCATGTTTCCCACCATGATATACAGAATGGAATAAGTGAAATAATACTTACTTGCTGATACTGTAATTATCCCCACTTTGAAAATGATGAAAATGGAGGCTTCTAGGGGTTAAGGAAGTTTTTTCTTTTCTTTTTAAATCTGCCTGCTTTTAAAAAAATATTTGTTTTTATTGATTTCAGAGAGGAAGAGAGAGAGAGAGAGAGAGAGAGAGAGAGAGAGAGAGAGAGAGAGAGAGGAGAGAAAATGAGAGAGAGACCTAAATGATGAGAGAGAATCATTAATTGGCTGCCTCCTGCACACCCCACACCTGGGTTTGACTGGGATGTGCCCTGACTGGGAATCGAATCGAACCATGACCCTCTGGTTTATAGGTCGACCCTTAACCACTGAGCCACACCAGCTGGGCAAGGGAGTTTTTCAAGGCACAAGGTTAGTAGGAATGGACCCAGGAATTCTAATGCTGGTTTGTTTTCCTCTAAGACAAATCCTGGGTGCAGTAAGGGCTTAATAAATATAGGCAATTATTAAAATAAGACTGAAAAGGTTGTTTGATGACAGACCGTGTCAAGCTTTAAATAACATCCTTAGGAGTTTAGACTTTAAAGTATGAAGAATGCAGACAGCTGCATAGATTGTGAGGTGGGAAGTGAAATGTCTCAAGTTGTTTAGAACTTCAACAGAAACCATAGAGAGTTCTAATGGTGTCTCCACCTCTTGGGGTCCATGAACCATCCTGTTGTATTGATAAATTCTTTATGTAACAGAAGCTAGCTGAAGTCAAATTTCCATTGGTTGCAACTGAAAAAGTCTTGATTAATAAACCTCAGTTTGCTGACAAAGAAACTTGAAATCAGACAGTTTGAATGAATCCCAGTTTTCTGGTGTCAGTATCAGAACTAGAATGCCCATGTCTTCAATCCCTAGTCCTAAACCACTCTATCCTGGGAAATTTGACCTTTTACTTTTTCACTACACTCATTGTCTTGAACAAAAGGTGAACAAATCAATTCACGGGTGGTTGACGGTGATTTTATGTAAATCAAACCCACACTGTTTTGATGTGGGAAACCAGGACTCAGATGAAAGGTGCATTTATTAAATGTATTTAGCATAAGATCATCCCATACTACAGACTCAGCCTTGATAAGACTCTCCGAACTCTAATGATTGGGGCTAGAGACACAGCATGTGCATATATGTAGAGAAAAACAAAATAATATGTGTTCATCAGTAAGCCCACTGCACCAAAGTGGAGGAAAGACAGACTCAGATGTACACTGTGCTAAATTTGAATGTCTCAGACCTAGCTTTATGAGCAATAGATGACTTAATTTAAAATAATTGCCTTTCTCCATGAAAATTTGTTGAAAAGTTTTAACAATTTTTGAACAAGCTTTTCTCCCTTAAAAGAACTTACTCATGACTACCATTACTTTTGGAGTCATTTTTAACTCTTACCCATCTAGAATCTAGATTCTGCATCCTGTCAATCCATAGTACTCACATCTATCATTTTTTCTTCACTCCCAACACAATACCGTGTTTTGTTTCCACTCACCTGGATAGTGACCTCGTCACTCATTTAGTTGTTGCCACTCTCTTGTTCTACCATTTCATTATGCTCCTCACTGCTTGTGGAACTGGCTTCAAGCTCCTAAGCAGGGATTCAAGGCTAACTGAAATCTGTCTAACACATGTTAGTTAGCCTTAATTATACAATCTATAGTAATAATAGAAGAATATTATTATTATTGTCCAGACTCCATCACAGTAATGACCGAACAGCAGGCTGCATGGGGCAACCAGGCCGGCGGGAGGAGGGGGCAGTTAGGGGCGACCAGGCCAGCAGAGGGGCAGTTGGGGGCGACCAGGCCAGCAGGGGGGCAGTTGGGGGTGACCAGGCCAGCAGGGCAGGCAGTTAGGGGAGACCAGGTTGGCAGGAGGCAGTAAGGGGTGACTAGGCTGGTGGGGGGGCAGTTAGGGACAACCAGGCCAGCAGGGGTGGGGGCAGCTGGGGGCGACCCGGTTGGTGGGGGGGCAGTTGGGGGCAACCAGGCCGGCAGGCAGGTGAGCAGTTAGGAGCCAGTGGTCCTGGATTGTGAGAGGGATGCCCAGCTGCCGGTTTAGGCCCTATCCTGGCAGTCGGACATCCCCCGAGGGGTACCGGATTAGAGAGGTGGCAGGCTGGGCTGAGGGGGCCTCCTTACCCCCACCCTCCCCACCATGCACGAATTTCATGTACTGGGCCTCTAGTTATTCATAAGCCTCAGCTAAATCAGCTATGAATGCGCAAATATCAACTGTTATTATTTGCTATTAATCAGTTGTCCTGCTTGTTTCTATTCACCATGTGTTAACTTGACCTCCTTTCATGCATGAAATTTTCCTTGATTCTATTCCCTCCCTACAATACAGTGGTGACACTCTCCCTCATATCCCCAGGGTTTTGGGCACAACTTGAAGGACTTTCCACACCTTTCTATGTATTGCTAACATATTGGTACATGTCTTCACTTTCTTTCCTAAAGTTGAACTCCTTGAGAGTAAAAAAATCTTCTTTATTGTCCTTCTACCCTGCACGTTTTACATAAATATTTGGGACTAAGTCAATGATGATAGAATGAACTCACCATTATCTTTTATCTAACCCAAGTTGAATGTTTAAAAAAGGCAGAATTTTACTGAAATGGGGAAAAAAACCCTCCATTATTCCATGTGGGCAAATATGAACCTGGCTAACACCGCTTACAATTAAATGATAAGGGGGAGGGGGGGTATTTTCTTTTCTTGGATATAACCAGTGACAAAATGTAAGAGAGAAACAAAGAACTAGGACTTTCATAGCTTCTTCCTCAGAGAGGCAAAGTTTTTCCTGCAATGAATTGGCACAGGTATGTTGATAATGTATGTTGGCTGGTCCAGAGGAAGAAAGTTTGTCTTACTTGCCCATCCAGGCTATGTGGGGGCAGATGGTGGCTGGCACAGGTATTCCTTGCTGTGCCATCCTAAATCAGTTCCAATCTGCAGCCACCAGTCACTCGTGCCAGTGGTGCAACAGGCTCAGTGTAGACTTCCTAACCAGCTGGTTCAGATGAGACCTAACTAACCAGTCTGGCAACAAGGTGGAGATGTTACAGCTTCCAAGGAATGCCAAATGCTATGGGACTGTCTGGGCCATGCCCAACCCATTGCAATCTGGTTTCAACTAGAAATGCTCCAACCTTTCTTGGCCTTCCAGTACCACTCATAAAGTCAAGTTGCCCACTGCTGGACAGGAGCTAGCACCTCAGTCCCTGTTATCACCACCACTACCTAGGCCAGTGGTTCTCAACCTTCCTAATGCCGCGACCCTATCATACAGTTCCTCATGTTGTGGTGACCCCCAATTTCATTGTTACAAATTGGACATAATTAAAGCATAGTGATTAATCACAAAAGCAATATGTAATTATATATGCGTTTTCCGATGGTCTTAGGCGACCCCTGTGAAAGGGTCGTTCCACTCCCAAAGGGGTCGCGACCCACAGGTTGAGAGCCGCTGACCTAGGCTGTTGCTTCAAATCGCTTCCAATGTCCTGTGCACACCAAGCCTAAAGTTTGTGTGCAGGGGCAGGAGTCCCCAATAGCTTCCAAGGTGGGCTTCACTCCCCATCCTGGCCATTGTTCGCCACAGGAGCAGAGGATGCTGGAAGAATGTTATAGAATGCTACTGCAGATTGTCATTTATAAATTCTGCCACATGATGTCTCTGAAATTGCTCTGCTCCAAGGTATATGAAGCTGCAGTACTACTATATTCTGCGTTTGCATCTCTTTGACATTATTATTCTTTAGACTCGACATAGGAAAATTGTATAATATTTCAACAGTTTATGTATTTGAAAAACAAATGTACCCAAACCGAGATGATGGTTTTTATTTTAAACAGGAAAGTGATAGAATTGAAGGTCAAGGCAGCGGCTCGCGTACAACTTTGGAGAAGCAGAGCAGCGGGCGCGGTGACACCCCGAAAGTCTCTCCAGGAAGTTGGGGCACGCCCAGGCACGGCATTGCTTTCCGCACACACCGCCCGGGTTTCTGCGGGGCCAGAGTGAGGAGTCACCCGCGCACCCAGCGTGGCTCCGCCCGGGTCGAGTCGCCCGGCTCGGAACTACGGTTCCCAGAAGGCTGTGCGAGTCGAGGAGGGAAGGGCCGAGGCGGCCGGAAGAGCACTAGAGGCGACGGTGCTGGGTGTTCCCTCGGTGGTCTGTCCGGCTGCCCCCACGGTCCGGACGGAGAACGCGGCCCCGCGCAGTCCTCTCAGTCCCGGGCGCTGGCCGGGGCAAGCCGGCGCCTCCGCCCACAGGACGGGGCGGGGCGGGATGTAGGGCGCGGGGCACGGAGGCCGCCGGAGCGGCTGGAGGAGCGCGGAGGGCGCCCCGAGGATGGAGAGAGCGATGGAGCAACTCAACCGCCTGACTCGCTCGCTGCGCCGCGCTCGCACCGTGGAGCTGCCCGACGGTGAGCGGGGCAGCGCGGCTGGGAGCGGGGGCGGCCGGGGCGGGAGCGGGGGCGGAGCGCGGGCCTGGAGAGGTCGGTGGGAAACTCACCGAAGGCTGACAAAACGCCCACGTTTGCTCTCTGAGCTGGGAGGGGCCGGACTGGGACCCCCGAGCGCCGGGCGCCCGCCGCGGCAGGTGGGGTTTGCGGGAAGCGCTGGGCTGTGCGGGTCCGACAGGTGGAGGAAGCAGAAGAGCCCGGATCTCCAAGCGGATGGCGGGGACCCGGGTCCCAGAAACATTAGGCGGTGGTCATCTCACTGCCGCTGCCGGCTGGGGAGGCAGGGATGCTCCCGGGACAGTGCTGTTTACTTGAGGCTGCGAGGGCGGTTTGGCAGCCTTTACTGTTTGAAAGCGTGGAGCACTGTTGTATTTTGACAAAAGATAAATAAGGTGGCACATGCCAAACTTGTACTCTTAAAATACTCTATGTACTAGTAGACATATTTACACTTTTCTTTAATATGCCTTTCCGTTTTCATTCTTTTTTTTAAAGTTTTTGTTTTTAATATATTTTATTGTTTTTTTACAGAGAGGAAGGGAGAGGGGTAGAGAGTTAGAAACATCGATGAGAGAGAAACATCGATGAGTGAGAAACATCGATGCATCGATCAGCTGCCTCCTGCACACCTCCTACTGGGGATGTGCCCGCAACCAAGGTACATGCCCTTGACCAGAATCAACCTGGGACCCTTCAGTCCAAAGGCCCACGCTCTATCCACTGAGCCAAACCGGTTAGGGCCGTTTCATTTTTTTATTCGTTGCTCATAGGTGGGGGCTGGGGAGCTTCTACAAAGAAATAAGAGGTGATCCCTGCAGTTTAGGAATTTTAGAGAGTGGAAGGGAGAGGGAGAAGAACGGGGAGGAGGAGAGGGAGGGAGGGAGGGAGAAAGAGAGAGAGAGAGAGAGAGAGAGATAGAGAGAGAGAGGAGAGAAAGAAAGAAAAACATGGATGTGAAAGAGACACATCCATTGGTTGCCTCCCGCGAGGCCCGAGCCTGTAAACCAGATACGTGCCCTTGACCAGAATGGAACCCTGGACCCTTCATACTGTGGACTGACGCTCTATCCACGAGCAAAACTGGCCAGGGTGGCATTAACGTTTTAAGGGCTAAATGGGAGTTGTCAGAGTTACTTCTTTGTAAATAACTCGCTGAAACTTACATAAGTATAATATGGCATCATTGATGTTTTCTTTTGGATCATGTTTGTGTGAATTTTTTTCTATAAATGATATAAATGAAGATGTGAATAATTAAAAGTAATAAGTAAAAGTAAAATTTTAATACTGTTTCATAAAAGCTTCTAAAATATTTCCTTTTGCTATAATATTGGCAAGAAGCAAGCATGTATGTTTAATGTATTTAAACTTACTTAGCATATATAGCTTTAAAATCCGTATATACTTACTAGAGGTCCGGTGCACGGAAATTCATGCACTAGGGGGGTGGGTGGCCTCAGCCCGGCCTGCGCCCTCTCACAGTCCTGGACACCTGAAGGGATGTCTGCTTGATTAGCCCTGCTCTCCAGGCCTAAGTCAGCAGTCAGACATCCCTCTCGCAGTCCAGGAGCCCTGGCTCCCTGCTTGCTGCTCCTTACCCTAGGTCCGTGGTCGGCAAACTGCGAGCCACATGCGGCTCTTTGGCCCCTTGAGTGTGGCTCTTCCACAAAATACCACGTGTGGACGCGCGTACAGTGTGATTGAAACTTCGTGGCCCATGCGCAGAAGTCGGTTTTTGGCCTGGGCGAGTCTATTTTGAAGAAGTACTGTTGATATTTGGCTCTGTTGACCAATGAGTTTGCCGACCGCTGCCCTAGGCTGACTGCTCCTTAGCATTGCCTTGGAGGGTGGGAGAGGCTCCTGCCACCGCACTGCGTTCACCCTGCTTCTGGCACTCTGCTTCTGGTTGAGCAGAGCTCCCCCTTGTGGGAGCGCACTGACCACCAGGGGGCAGCTCCTGCATTGAGCAGCCGCCCCCTGGTGGTCAGTGCATGCCATAGTGACCAGTGTTCTGCAGTCTGGTCGATTTGCATATTACCCTTTTATTATAAGGACTAGAGGCCTGTTGCACGAAAAGATTCATGCAATAGGCCTTCCCTTCCCCTGGCTGCTGGCACCGGTTTTCCTCCGGCACCCCAGACCTAGGCCTTTGCTCTGGCCGGAGCTGCCTTCAGTCTTCGCTGCCCCGGCTGGAGCCGCCTTCAGTCTTTGCTCCACCGCTTCACATCTATGTATGCAAATTAACCACCATCTTTGTTGGTGGTTAATTTGCATATCTCGCTGATTAGCCAATGGGAGGCGTAGCAAAAGTATGGTCAGTTACCATGTTTGTCTCTTATTAGGTAGGATAAGTTTCCCCAAAGTACATGTAAGTATGATAAAACGTGAAGTCAATAAACACCTCTTTGGAACTAAAAGAAATTTTAGTTGTTAAAGCTACAGAAATTGTTAGGGCTCTAATTTTTCCCTCAGATCTAGAAGCTAAGAAGTTTTGTGGTGATGTAGAGGGAATGAGCATTAGAGAGGATAAGAAATTATGTATTGCAAATTTTGCAATACCTGTGGTATTCTTCACTAACCTTAACTTTTTACCTCTTCTCACTTTTTATGTGGAGTTAAGAAAATTTTAAGATAGTTTTAGGTATTACCCTTTGGATAAAGTCTGAGATAAATGAATTCTTTTCTGTTTTGTTTTGTTTTACTCAGATAATGAAACTGCTGTTTATACATTAATGCCAATGGTTATGGCTGATCAACACAGGTGAGTTCCTCTTTTACAAATTTATACTTTTTGAGAGGTATAAATTTGTCTAAATGTCGTGTACTAGTATACACACATGTACGTATGCACATGTGCATGCACACACACAGTTTGTTCATAGATGTTGTCCTGGGACAAGTTATTTAACCTGTTATAATTTTCTGTCTGTGAATTAAGAAAAAAGATTTTCTGAGATCCTATGGTAAGAGATTTTCTAAATGAATAGTCAGATATTAAGTCAGGTATTTGGTTGGTCATATAAGGTACAGTTATCTGACTGTGGAATGAGGTGTTTACACTTGCAGCAGACAGCTCTGCTATGGTTAGCCATTAGGTAATTTGGTGTAGTGAGAAGAAAGTGAAGGAAAACTATATTTTGAAACAAGTTTTTTGCTTTAAACCTCCTATCTGATATTATTAAAATGTGTTTTTTGTCTTTGATTTTCTTATTTGGACAAAATTAATATAGATGGGCTCAGGTTTCTGCAAGGGGAGCAGCCAGCCCTACTCTCTTTATTTCTCAGTATTCTAGGGGAGCCCGGCCAGTGTCACTCAGTGGTTCAGTGTTGACCTATAAACCAGGAGGTCACGGTTAGATTTGATCATGCCCTGGACTCCATCCCCAGTAGGGGGAATGCAGGGGGCAGCTGTTAGATGATTCTCCATCATTGATGTTTCTATCTCTCTCCCTCTCCTTTCCTCTCTGAAATCAATAAAAACATATATATATATATATATATATATATATATATATATATATGTTCTGAAAAGGAAGTTATGTTTCTTAAAAAAACATTCTAAGGGGAGCTGAGGACTACTTGGATAGCCTCAGAGCAGATTACACAGAGTGCAGACACGGAAACATTCAGCAATAGTTTATATGTCAGAGCAGTTGGTTTTTGGATGCCATGCTACACTTAGAAAACAGTGCCCATTTTTTTGGTTTATGTGGGATAGAATTTTTAAAATATATTGATAAGAGTAATTAAAGAGCTATTAACTCTAGATCTTTGTTTTTTAAAACTTTTAAAAAATGTATCAACTCTTTTAATATTCTTTTGTGTAGATCTGTTTCCGAACTACTGTCAAATTCAAAGTTTGATGTTAATTATGCATTTGGACGTGTGAAAAGAAGCTTGCTTCACATTGCAGCAAAGTAAGATTAAAGCTATTTTGAATTGAACTCTGGCCTAATGATCAGTAGTAGCAGGATTTGAATCAGTGTTGGCCCAGGGTAGTTATGGAGAGAAATGAGTACAGACATCTGAATGGTTCTTTATATGTCAAGGGCATAGTGTGCTACGCTTACATTCTTTACCTAAATATATTGTTAACCTCGGGATTGGACTCTAGTCTCACATCCACTGCCTTCGCTTGTTCTAGATCAAAGCAAAGTATGTTAGGCACTGGGTTGTCTTTTTTAGAAATACCTTAGACTCTCATTCATCGAAATTTTCCTTTTATCCAACCAATGAGATTTTATATGCTGACTACACATGGTCATTGGCCTTATACAGAGGTGGGCAAAAACAGGTATTCAGTTGTGAGTACATGAAACAGAGTTTATTCTTGTGTTATTATTTATTAGTTATTGTATTATTTTCCATAGGAACAACTGTAAATCTACTTTTGCCCCATCCTGTATTTTAAAGTAGAGGATATTTATTATTTGTGACAGAAGTCATCTTTTAGGTTAATATGGACCTCAAAAATAATGTGTTTAAAGCTTTTTGTTCTTTAATTAAGCTATATCAACTTGGCTGTGTTGAATGTATCTGATCTATTTTTAATATTGTTTTAGTTGTGGATCTGTGGAATGCTTGGTTCTGCTGTTAAAGAAAGGAGCAAATCCTAACTATCAAGATATTTCAGGCTGTACACCACTTCATTTGGCAGCTAGAAATGGGTAAGTATTTCGTTTTCTTAAGTAGATTAAGTTGTATTATTTTTATTCAAGGCACTCTACATTGATTTGATTTTTTCCCCCCATATTGGTCTTGGTAAGAGGGTCTTGGGTCATTATATCCAATTGTTAAATAACTATCATATTTAAATATTTATGAAATTGTTTACCGATATTTTTCTTCTTGAAAATATATTTGTTGAAGTTAATTATTACTTGGTTTATAGCAGTGGTTCTCAACCTTCCTAATGCCGCAACCCTTTAATACAGTTCCCCATGTTGTGGTGACCCCCAATTTCATTGTTACAAATTGAACATAAAGCATAGTGATTAATCACAAAAACAATATGTAATTATATATGTGTTTTCTGATAGTCTTAGGCAATCCCTGTGAAAGGGTTGTTCCACCCCCAAAGGGGTCGTGACCCACAGGTTGAGAATCGCTGGTTTATAGTGACATTTTATTTTCTGAAAGGAAAAATTTTTGCCTTTATTGTTTTGATATCCTTTTTCCTGCTAATCTCTTGTCACAATTTATTCCATGTTGTATTTTCCAAATTGCTTATTTAGTTAATTTTATTTATGGAATTAAATGCAGATTAAATGTTGTGGTTTTTTTTTCATTGATTTTAGAGCGAGAGAGGAAGGGAGTGAGAGACAGAGACACAGAGAGAGAAACAATGATTTTTTTGTTCCACTTATTTATGCATCTATTGGTTGTTTCTTGTATGTACCCTGCCTGTAGATCAAACCTGCATCTTTGGCGTATCCAGTTGATGTTCTAACCAACTGAGCTACTTGGCCAGGGCCAGAGTAAATACTATTATATCCAGTTTATTCATAGTAACTATTTGAGAATGAGCTATACTAGATAGAGTAAGCTTTGTTTTTTATTTTATTTGTAAGGATGAAGTTTTTTTGTTTCTTCAAAATATTTTTATTGATTTTTAGAGAGAGAGGAAGGAAGAGGAAGAGAGAGAAAAATGTTGATGTAAGAGCCGCACATCGAACGTTGCCTCCTTTATGAGCCCAGTTCATGGGACCATGCCCAACGAACTGAGCACACTGGTCAGGGCATGGAGTAAGCTTTCTTGATTACTCCTGTCAGTGCCAAAACTGCTTTTCATTTTAGTTACAACAAAATGATTCTTTAATAAATAATGTGCTTGCTAGCCCTCTTTTAAATTTTTAATTAAATCAGCATTTTTCCATTATGAAAGTATTATTTCCAAAATGTGAATATAATTTGTGCCTTTTCCTGGTAACTCTGGTCATCATTATGAACATCATTATGTTATTGTGTACTGTTTTTAAATCCTACTATACTTTTTATGGGTTTCTCCCCTTTTTTGTAAAAAATTTTAGATGTCACATCTCTGTCTGCATCTACCACTATTTTTTACTTCTTAAAATTCTGTTGGACTGAGAAACCAGGCAAAAATGATAGGAATTATGTTCAAAATGAAAATAAATAGTTTTTGATTATGAGTTTGAGGACCTTATAAACATTTTTCTAATGCTATAAAACTTCTTTATGAAAGTATATTTCTATGTGTCTCTTGTTTACTCTTGAAAATATTTTTGTTTTCTTAGTTTTGAACTGGGATTCTAGGTAGGGATATGGGGCTAAAATTGTCTACTGCATCAATCTGAGACAAATTTTTTCATGCAAGGATTAAAGTGAAACCCAAAGAACAAGAACCTCAGCGATGTCGAGGTTGGAGTGGAAAAGGCATGTAGTCTTTGACCCTACCTGGTCTTCCCCATTTTCTGATTTGGCACATGAACTAGTTTAGGGAACAGCTTATTGTTTTTTTAATACTTGGCCACATTAGGTATGTTGTAGGAGGGCACCCCTAAATCGTTGAGTAGATTATTTATTTACTTGCTGAATTAATCTCAGGTCTAGATACCTTATCCCTAGTTCTAGTAGGATAACAATAAAGGTCTGTGAAAAAGTTACTTATAGGAAATATCTCAGTACTCTGTCTCAACAATTGTAAATGAAAGGACAGATTGGTGCATAGCAGGGCCAAAATTGTAGTAGGAAGACTTAGTCAAAATTGTTACCCCCCCCCCCCATCTTTGTTGAGGTATAATTGACAAAATAACAAGATATTTAAAGTATACATTGTAATGATTTGATATATCTCTACATTGTGAAAGAATTCCTTCCATCTAGTTAATTAACACATTCATTCACCATCATCTCACAACTCATATATTTATCTTTCTTTTTTGCGGAGGGGTGAGAACATTTAAGTTGGAGACCATTACATTTTTAAAAAAATATGTTTTTATTAATTTCAGAGAGGAAGGGAGATTGAGAGAGAGAGAGAGAGAGAGAGAGAGAAACATCAGTGATGAGAGAGAATCATCCATCGGCTTTCTCCTGCAAGCCCCCTTCTAGGTGTCAAGCCTGCAATCTGGGCATGTACCCTGACTGGGAATTGAACGGGTGACCTTTTGTTTCATGGGTTGACACTCAACCACTGAGCCACACTGGCTGGCGAGACTATTACATTTTTAAAAAAATATATTTTTATTGATTTTAGAAAGGGAAGAGGGAGAGAGAGATAGAAACATCAGTGATGAGAGAGAATCATTGATCGGCTGCCTCCTGCACGCCCCCTACTGGGGGTCAAGCCTGCAACCCGGGCATGTGTCCTTGACCAGAATAGAACCCTGGACCCTTCAATCCGCAGGCTGATACTCTATTCACTGAGCCAAACTAGCTAGGGCGAGACCATTACATTTTAAAGAGAAAGAAATATGAGAGATACTGCATTATTCACATGGCAGGTCAGTGAGGAGAAAAGGAATAAGAAGAGTTCGTAACCCTGACATAACATCAATTTGGATGCCTTTCGTACTTAACTTTTTTTTATTATTTATTAAAAATTTCCCTATGACCTATGCTTCAATCTATACAAATTTGAACTCATAAAGAAATTATAGCGCCCTGGCTGGCTTGGCTCAGTGGATAGAGCGTCAGCCTGCGGACTGAGGGGTCCCGGGTTTGATTCCGGCTAAGGGCACATGTCTGGGTTGCAGGCTCCATCCCCAGTGGGGTGTGTGCAGGAGGCAGCCAATCAATGATTCTCTCTCATCATTGATGTTTCTATCTCTCTCTCCTTCTCCTTCCTCTCTGAAATCAATAAAGAAATATATTTAAAAAAAAAGAAAAAAAAAGAAATTATAGCAAAAAGTTATGTCTGAAAACATAAGCAGCTGCAGGAATTAAGTACTCAGGTTGCTTAGCAAACATTCATTGAGCACCTCTTAAGTTGTACAATCGAACTGTGACTTCCTGGTTCATAGCTGGACACTCAGCTACTGAGTCAGGGCAGCTTGGTTCTTTTCTTATAAAAGATTTGTTCAGCCAATAAAATTTGTAGCTGTTGATTTGTAAGATTAATAATAATCTATAAAGTTTTATTGGAGAATGACTAGCTATGCTTAGTATTGAGTTGATTAAAGAAATATGATATAATACATGGCATGAAGAAATTTATGATCTAATTGAGTAGTGATATATATATATGTATATTGTATGTACTAAATACTCTGTATGCCATATACTATCTATGTGAAGACTGTACTCATTTATTAATACTATATATACATAGTATAGTATATATCATATAGTACACATACACTGTTATGTATTTTATGCATATAATTATTTATTCAACTAGATAATAAACTTTTATGCTATGGACTATATCATATTTCCTTAATCAGAGCATATATATATATATATATATATACACACACACACACACACACACACACACATATACACAACATATGAAATGGATATTATATATACACATATGTGTGTATCACTTTATTTCCAAAGCATGAATTTTCATTTTATTATTTAATGAAGGGGCCATTGAGATGAATACTGAATAGTAACTAGTAATGAATCAGGCTAAGATGAACCATTGTGAGCAAAACAAAATGAGTAGGCAGTTCAAAAGGGGCAAAGGACTTGAATAGGCATTTCTCCAAAGATACACAGATGGCTACTAAGCACATGAAAAGGTACTCACTGTCACTAATCATTAGGGAAATGCAAAACAAAACTATAATGAGTTATCATCACACTTATTAGTATGACTATCAAAGAAAAACAACAAAACAAAGCAGAAAGTAACAAGTTTTGATGAGGATGTGGAGAAATTGGAACTCTGTCCACTGTTGGTGGGAATGTAAAATGGTACAGGTGCTCTGAAAAAAATTTTGGTGGTTCCACAAAAAATTAGAAATACCATATATTCCAACAATCCCACTTCTGGATATATACCCAATAACATTGAAAGCAGGGTCTTGAAGAAATATTTCTGTACCCATGTTCATAGCTGTTCACAATAGCTAAAATGTAAACAACCTAAATATGTATCCATTGACAGATGAACAGATAAGGAAAATGTGGTATGTACATATTTTGGAATATTATTCAGTCTTAAAAAGGAAGGAAATTCTGACATATGCTAAAACGTGGATAAATCTTGTGGACATTATGCTAAGTGAAATTAGGCCAGTCACAAAGAGACAAACACCTGTCTGATTCCATTTTTATGAGGGACTTATATAAGCCCAAATTTTAGAGACAGAAAGTACCATGGTGGTTGCGAGGGGAGAGGAGATGGGGAGTTATTGTTTAATGGATTTTCAGTTTTCAAGATGAAAAGAGTTCTCAAGTTTTCAAGATGGAAAGAGGATGGTGATGGTTGCACAATATGAATGTACTTAATACCACTGAACTGTACACTTAAAAATGATTAATATGCTATATTTTATGTTATGTCTATTTTACTACAATAAAAATGAAAAACAATGAAGGAAGTAGGGGGATGCATATACATGTATTTTATTAATTTTGTGCTTATGTTTTTATAATTCATGTTAGTATTAACTTTTAATATTTATAATCATGAATGTAGGATACAACATTGAGACATGCTTTTGCTATCTATATTCATTCCTCTTTCATTAGGCTTATGTTATACTAGAGGCCTGGTACACGAACTTCGTGCACGGGGGGCGGGTGTCCCTCAGCCCAGTGCACCTCTCCAATCTGGGACATCCCTCTCACAATCCGGGACTGCTGGCTCCCAACCACTTGCCTGCCTGCCTGCCTCATTGCCCCTAACCGCTTCTGCCTGCCAGCCTGATCACCCCCTAACCACTCCCCTGCCAGCCTGATAGATGCCTAACCGCTCCCTTGCCAGCCCAGTCGCCCTCAACTGCCCTCCCCTGCTGGCCCAGTTCCCCCCAACTTCCCTCCCCTGCAGGCCATCTTGTGGCTGTGGGCGCTGCCATCTTTGAGGGTGGGACAGTCAATTAGCATATTCCCTCCTTATTGGCTGTGTGTGCCACCATCTTTGCGATGGTGTGAGGGTCAATTAGCATATACCCTCTTTATTAGAAAGGATTGCTAATGAAAATTACTATTTCAGATATTCAGTCAACACTAGAAATTTCTCAGCATTTTGAATGATGACTGTCCCAATGACATGAAAATCTTATTGTGCCTTTTCTTTATCCTGTTATCTTTGAGTCATAGAAACAATTTTGTATATTATTTCAAATGTTAGTGTTTATTTAAATATTGAAGATATGGATTGATACTTAAATATTAACTACACTCAACTAATGTTGAGTGTAGTTAATATTTTAGCATAATAATTGTTACTTGTTTGTATTTCTAGTATCAGTTATTTGTGACTTTCTTTCTTTTTAGGCAGAAGAAATGCATGAGTAAATTATTAGAATACAGTGCTGATGTCAACATTTGTAATAATGAAGGCCTTACAGCAGTAAGTGCTAAGAATTTCTTGAGATTTTTAAAATGCTTTTTAGAAATATCATTGAAGGTGATAGTAATGCAAAGTGCAGTACAAGTGTTTTTGCAAGTTACTTCTTTGTGATAATTAAGAAGATGCAGAATGATTTGAGATATAGTTCTCAGCTATATTTATTAAGAGAAGATATGGTCCACCATATTTCTTCTTTTTTCTCCTGTTTGAGTGTATGCCTTTTCATTTGTTTTGAAGTCTTATTATTCCCCTAACTTTTGTCATCCATTTTCAATGACTTTCAGTGGCCCCTACTGGAGATTGAGCCTGAAACTTGGGCATGTGCCCTGACTAGAACTTGAACTATGACCTCCTGGTTCATAGGTTGATGCTCAACCATTGAGCCACATAGGCCAGGCGGTTGTTATACTTTGATCCACATAGATATTATAGAGAGATGGTATAGGATATTTGAAGAGATTGCTGAAATAAAAAATTTTAATCAAATTATCATTATTTAATGAAGCATTATTCATTTTATAAGTAGAGATAAAATAGAATTTTGTGATTACTGAGAAATTGTTTTAAAGTCATGATAGAAGATGTTAAGTTTTACTTATTAAATTTTACCTCCCTATTTGTGAGGTGATAGAGATATTAACTAACTGGAAGGTGGGAATCCTTTTACAATGTATATGAAATCATCACACTGTATACTTTAAATATTTTATAATTTTATTTGTTAATTATATCTCAATAAAGCGTAATGATGTGCTAGGTATCACAGAGGGTTATAAAACTATCTGTCCTTAGAGCACTGTCTAATATAGGTAAGATAAGGTGTCCAATATTCCCATAATGTTTATCGCATTAGTTTTTATCTGCTAATTTCTTCCACTCCTAAACTTTAAAGGAAGTAGAGTAGAACATTTTTAAACATCAAATTTTAATCTAAAAACTATTCATGTGCATATTTAAAGGGTCATTTAATTATACCAGGCTGTTATAGAAAAAGTCTCTATTCTTTTTCTGCCTGGGATCAACCTCGGTGTTCTCTCCTGTGGGTGTGGTGTGTCTCCTTTTCTTGGATACTATTCTGGCTGCCAAGCATGTTCCTGACTTGTCCCAGACCACCATGGTGGAATTAATTCAACAATTGGGTTCATTGACCTCATTGGCTGAAGGAAGCTGGGATGGTGGAAATGTGCTGCTACAGAATTGAGTACTTGTCACCAAACATGCAGGGGAGTAAAGCCAAGCACTGCTGAGATGATGGAACCTTCAGTAGGGAGCCAAGAGCCCCAGGATTGTTTCTACAAAAGGAGACAGTCGTTGACTGCATGCTTTCTAGGTTGGTCAACCTCACAAAAGACTCATGTTTCTTCATTTGTTCTTTCAAAGGACAATACTTAACTATATGCTAGGCAGGCACTTTGCTGGTGTGGGGATAGATTTGTGAATATTTCTGACTCAGACCTTGTCATCTCCAAACACGAAAGTCAGCAGGTGTTGGTGACGCATTGTAATGTCAACATAGGAGGAGAGCTATGGAAGAAATGGAGGGGGATCCATCCTTACCTAGGAGCATGTGAGCTGAGGCCAAGGGACAATTAAACAGTGGAGTGTTAAAAGTGGTGGCTAAAAGAGTGTTAAAAGAGTTCTAGCTCTGTGGAATAGATTGGTGAAGGCTTGGAAATGAAAGAGAGCATGATACAGTAGAGCAGCCGTGGGCAAACTACGGCCCGCGGGCCGTATTCGGCCTGTTTGAAATGAATAAAACTAAAAGAAAAAAAAGACCGTACCCTTTTATGTAATGATGTTTACTTTGAATTTATATTAGTTCACACAAACACTCCATCCATGCTTTTGTTCCGGCCCTCTGGTCCAGTTTAAGAACCCATTGTGGCCCTCGAGTCAAAAAGTTTGCTCACCCCTGCATTAGAGCAATGAGCTTAATGTGGTATTCAGATACCCCTGGAGCTTCATGAATACTTCCAAAGGCTTGTGGCATGTATGTTTAAGGATATCACTTTACAGATCTTCAGTTTCTGTGTTTCTATGTGCTCTTAAATGATCTGCTCAAGAGCATCCCCTGGTAGAGTGCCAGCCCTTTCCACTTTTACCTTAAAAATCACTCTTCCACCACTTGTTTTGAGTAGAATACATTTTATACCCACCCATCCTGAATATTGCCAAGATACATTGTCAAGGATGGGGTGGGGCTAGGAGTAAACAAACAAACAAAAAAGCCAACTCAAAATATTGGTGTCTTCAAAGTCTCTATCATTCATCACCCTTAGGCTTTTTCCTGTCTTATATGTATTGCTGTTACTGGTGAAGTATTTAGACTTGAGTTGCTTTATTCTGAATTCAGCACAATTACAAAAATGATGCAGTAGTAGTCTTGGAATATTTGCTTGGTTTGTCATCAATACCATCCCACAACTACTATCAAAGAATACATTGCCTCTAAGGCAGTGGTTCTCAACCTGTGGGTCACGACCCCTTTGGTGGTCGAACGACCCCTGTGGGGTCGCCTAAGACCATCCTGCATATCAGATATTTCATTACAATTCATAACAGTAACAACATGACAGTTATGAAGTAGCAACGAGAATAATTTTATGTTGGGTCATAACATGAGGAACTGTATTTAAAGGGCCAGGAGGTTGAGAACCACTGCTCTAAGGTAAAGTTCAGTGAGAAGCAAAAGAACGTCAGTAGGAAATGCTGAAGTCAGTGGTGACTCTTTTCACCCAACTGGCAGTCAGGGTGACTTTTAATCTATCTATTTTATTCATACTTATCTCTATCTATATTTACCTATATTAGGAAGTGGAGGAAATGGGCAGTGACTGCTAATGGGTACAGGTTTTCTTTTTGGAGAAATGAAAGTATTCTAAAATTGATGGTGGTGGTGATCACACAACTCTGAATATACTACATGTCTAGAGGTTGTTTACTTAAATAGGTGAATTGTATGGTATTATGCCTCAAGTAAATACACATATACCTTATGACACCCTTGTCCCCCCAAAATAAAACGTTCTCTTGATCTTCCAACTTCCAAAATTCTCATTCCATAGTGAGCTCCTCTCAACTATTTTTAATGGATTTAAACATTTGTTTTCCCTGTATCTGAATGACATGCTAATATTGCTACCTTTTGAATTTTTCAGTTTTAGGCTTTACTTATTGATTTTCTGAACAATAAGATTATTGCTCTCTTTTTCAGCCTCCCTCCCATGTCCCTTCATGTACAAGCACATTCCCTCAGACCCTTACAATAGAGTCACAATTTTTGTTATGTCATTTTTCAATGTTTTAGTTTTTGATTGTGTAAAAACTATTCATAGTTAGGTTAAGTTGTTTTCTATTGTTACTTTTCTGTTTTATAAAGCATTTTATTTTTCATGTAGTTAAAAATTGCATTTAAAAAATTGAAGTAATTAATAGATTCATATGCAGTTGTAAGATACAGAAACCCCCCCTGTATATTTTGCCCAGTTTCTCATTGATCACATTTTACAGAACCATAGTATAATATAATATCATAACCAGGGTATTGGCATGGATACAGTCTTACTCATTTCCTGTTTTACTTGCTTGCTTGTACCCAGTTTTACCTGTGTGTATGTATGTACATATATTAAGTTTTATACAGTTTTATTACCTGTGTAGATCCATGGGTCCACTACTGTAGTCAACATCCTGAACATTTCCAGTTCCACAAAGATGCCTTGTGTTGCTCTTCTTTTCTAATCACACCTTTCTTCCCCTTAACTCCCATGCCTAACCCCTGGCAACCACTAATCTATTTTTCTTTTCTGAAATGTTGTTTCAAGAATATAGACATGGAATCATAATTGTGGAACTTTTTGGGGTAGGCTTTTGTATACTCATCATATTCCTTGGAGATTGATTTAGATTTTTGTGTGTATCAATAGTTTGTTCTTTTATATTACTGACTAGTATTCCTTGGTGTAGATATACCACTGTTTGTTTAATCATTCACCTCTTGAAGGACAACTGGGTCATTTCCTGTTTGGAGCTATTGCAAGTAATGCTGCCATAAGCATAAACATTAGGGTATAAGTTTTTGGGGTGAACATACATTTTCATTTCTCTGAAATAAATGCCCAGGAATTCAGTTGCTGGGTTGTATGGCATTTTCATGTTTAGTTTTCAAATGCTCTGCCTTACTTTTCCAGAGTGACTGTATCGTTTACCACCTACCAGGAATCTAGTTTTTCAGCATCCTCACTAGCATTTGATATCGTTAATGTTTTTTTTTTAATTTTAGCAATTATGATAGGTACTAGAGGCCCAGTGCATGAATTCGTGCACCAGTGGGGTCCCTTGGCCTGGCCTGCGGGATTGGGCCGAAACCGCCTCTCCAACATCCCCCAAGGGGTCCCAGATGGTGAGGGGGTACAGGCCAGGTGGAGGGACCCCACCGGTGCACGATTGGGGTTGGGGAGGGATGCGGGAGGTTGGCCAGCAGGGAGGGACCACAGGAGGGCTCCAGGGCATGTCCGGCCCGCCTAGCTTAATCCTGTTTGGCCGGACCCCAGCAGTAAGCTAACCTACCAGTTGGAGCATCTGCCCCCTGGTGGTCAGTGCATGTCATAGCAAGCAGTTGAGTGGCCTTAGCATATAATTAGCATATTATGCTTTGATTGGTTGAACAGCTGACCGAGCGACCGGACATTTAACATATTAGGCTTTTATTATTTAGGACTAGAGGCCCGGTGCACAAAAATTTGTGCACTTGGGGGGAAAGGGAGGGGTCCCTCAGCCCGGCCTGTGCCCTCTCGCAGTCTGGGACCCCTCGCGAGATAACGACCTGCTGGCTTAGGCCTGCTTCCGGGTGGCAGAGGGCAGGCCCAATCCCTAGGTGCAGCCCCTGGTCGGGCTCAGAGCAGGGCTGATTGGGGAGTTGGGGCGCCGCCCCTGTCATGCACAGAGCAGGGCAATCGGGAGGTTGTGATGCCACCCTCAGTCACGCTCAGGGTAGGGCCGATTGGGGGGTTGGGGCACCGCCCCCTGTCACACTCAAGGCAGGGTCGATGGGGAGGTTGCGGTGCCACCCCCTGTCACACACAGAGCAGGGCCAATCAGGGGGTTGGGACGCTGGCCCTGTCACGCACAGAGCAGTGCCCATCAGGGGAGTTGGGGCTCCGTACCCTGTCACGCACAGAGCAGGGCCCATCAGGGGGTTGGGGAGCTCCCCCTGTCATGCACAGAGCAGGGCCAGTCAGGGGGTTGGGGAGCTCCCCCCTGTCACTCACAGAGTAGGGCCGATAGGGGAGTTGGGGCACTGCCCCGGTCACACACACAGCAGGGCCGATCAGGGGGTTGGGGTGCCGCACCCTGTCACACTCAGGGCAGCGCTGATGAGGAGGTTATGGCTCTACCCCGTCACACACAGAGCAGGGCCCGTGGGGGGCGGTTGGGGAGTCACCCTCTATCACCCACAGAGCAGGGCCGATCATGGGGTTGGGGCGCCGCCACTGTCACACTCAGGGCAGGGCCGATGGGGAGGTTATGGCTCTACCCCGTCACACACAGAGCAGGGCCCTTGGGGGGGGGGGGGTTGGGGCACCGCATCCTGTTACACATAGAGCAGGGCCGATCATGGGGTTGGGGTGCCGCCCCCTGTCACACACAGAGCCGCAGGGCGATCAGGGGGTTTGGGCACTGCCCCCTGTCACGCTGATCCCAGTGCCGGGAGGCCTTGCGGCTCCGCTGATCCTGGTGCTGGGAGGCATATTACCCTTTTACTATATAGGATAGAGGCCTGGTGCACGTGTGGGGCCCGGCTGGTTTTCCCTGAAGGGTGTCCTGGATCAGGGTGGGGGTCCCCACTGGGGTGCCTGGCCAGCCTGGATGAGGGGATGATGGCTGTTTGCAGCTGGTCACACACCCTTCAGGGTGGGGGTCCCCACTGGGGTGCCTGGCCAGTCTGGGTGAGGGGCTGAGGGCTGAAGCTCCCAACCGCTCCTTTTTTTCTTTTTTTTTTAAATTCTGGGCCAGCTTTAGCTCTGAGGCTCCAGCTCTTAGGCCTCCGCTGCTGAAAGCAGGTATCTGGTTTGTTTCGGTTCTATAATGAAACAATGTATAACTCCAGCTCTGAGATCCCAGCTCTCTGAAAGCAGGTTTCTGGGGTTTTGTTTAGCTTCTATATTTGTTACAATGTTTCAGACTGCAGGCTCAGAGGCCGGCAAGGCAGGTTTCCTTCGTTACTGAAGCAAGCAAGCCTCATGTTAGTTTCAAGCTGCCTGGCTGCTGGCCGCCATCTTGGCTGGCGGTTAATTTGCATATCGCCCTGATTAGCCAATGGGTAGGGTAGCGGTCGTATGCTAATTACCATGTTTCTCTTTTATTAGATAGGATAATTATATCTCTTGTAGTTTTACTTTGCTCTTGCCTAATTGCTGATATTGTTGAACATCTTTTTATATGCGTTTTTTTACCATTTGTGCGTTTTTTACCATTTGTTCATCCTATTATATGAAATGATAATTCATGTCAATTGTCCATTTTCTAATTGGATTTGTAAAAAAATATATTGATTGCTTTTTAGAGAGAGAGAGAGAGAGAGAGAGAGCGAGAGGGAGGAAGAAACAATGCTTTGTTGTTCTACTTATTTATACATTCATTGGTTGATTCTTGTATGTGCCCTCACCAGGAATAGAATACAAAACCTTGGAGTATGGAGTAGATGCTCTAACCAACTGAAGTAAAGAATATGGCACCCACTTTGTTAATTACTTTTTAATTTATGTTTGCTTCTGGGGAAGGAAAATTATTCAGTACCTTTTCTATAGAGAAAACCTATTCATAGAGTTCGGGATCATCTAAGAAGCAGACTATTTGGTGATCCTAAGTCTAAACTTAATTACTTTGAACCATGAAGTGCTTGATTTTGAAATACATGGTGGTGTAACCTATATCTTGATGCATATTTTTCCCCCTGTAAAAATATAGAAAAATATATATAGGCTTAAATTTTAATTTTAGTCTTTAGTGTGTATTATGCTCACAGTTGGGAAGTAATAGCATCTATCTGCTGTTTTTATGTGAAACACTCCTGCATAAATGCTAAGTAACTAACTGACTGCACAGATACACTGGCTGGCTGTGAATGGGCGGACAGAGCTACTCCATGACCTTGTACAGCACGTCAGTGACGTCGATGTTGAGGATGCAATGGGGCAGACAGCGCTGCATGTGGCCTGCCAGAATGGTCACAAGACGGTAAATTCAGCTGTGAGAACTTTAAGTTGCATGTGTTTATTTTTGAAAACTTTGAATCATGAAAAGTTTCTCACTGTGCATACATAATTGGAAACATGAAGCATCATAGCAAAATCTTGTTATAACATTTTCTGCATCATACAGACTTTTGGTTAATATATTTTATGTGGAAAAAGGAATAGAAAATAGTCCTTTAAAATCTGTTTATAATATTTATAATTTGGATTTTAACTTCATTTCTGATTCATAGATTTTTAAATAGCTGAATATATTAAAAATTTAAATGTAGTATGTTCATATATAATTTTAACAATTATGTTTTGTTCTCAATTTTACCAACTAAGTTTTTCATATTTTCTTTTATTTTTTATTACTAAGCCTCAGTGATTGGGATTAGATATAAAGAAAGTGAATACTGACATTTCTTAAATCATTTAACTTGGGTTATCATATTTGTCTACTATCTCAGAATATGATGCAAGCACTAGAATGACAGTTGTTTTCTTTCAGACTTTAGGTTTCTAAAATCATGCATTTGTTTTATAGCAATAGTTTTCTGTTAATTCTATGTACAAACATTTGGCTTTTAAAATTCCTAATAGTTTTCTCTCATTAGGAGACTTTGCTGCCTTATATAAAGGTTGTTAGCTTACAATTATAAATGAATATTTGCTTTGCTATAATTTCCTGGTTACTTTCCTGTTGTTTCCTCCCCCACCCCCGCCACACACACACACACACACACACACACACACACACACACACACATGCATTTACTGTTATTGACAATAGAATGTTGCTTATTTACTTGCTAACTGTAAAAATGACAACAAAGACCAACTCTATACAACTTTAAAGCTACAAAATTTGCTTGTTTATATTTATTTTTTTGTATATTCTTTGAGTCTTATCTTTTTGTGGGAGAATTTTTAGTGGAGTCATTGGTTTCCTTCTCTGCAAACACTTTTTTCCTAACCTGGTTCAGGATATAGGATCCTACGTTTTAGATGCTTTATGTATGACTTCAGTTCACAGAATATTTCACTTCTTTAAGATTGTGAGGCCAAGGTTGACATTGTCTTATTTAAGAGTTAGATAAAAGGAGGGATATAGGATTCTTTTGATTACATGGAATTTTTCTGAACATCATTGTTCGTTTTTAATTTTTTTGTCTTTTATTATCTGAAAAGTAACCCAGTATTTTCAAGGAACATTTCTTCTCATTGTCTCAGAGTCCACACTATTAAATTTAAAAAATATTTTATATGATAAAAAATGATCTGAAATATTCTACTCTTGAGTGGCCTAGTGTCTGTCTGTCTGTCTGTCTCTCTCTCTCTCTCTCTCTCTCTCTCTCTCTCTCTCTCTCTCTCTCTCTCTCTCTCGTGTTTTCTATACTGGACTGTACTTTATTTTTTTGAAATTTATCTTTATAACAGGTAAGTGGAGTGTCATGTACTAAGATTGCAAACCCTACCTGTTGTTCAGGAACTTGTGTAGGAAAAAACTGGAATTCAGATTAGGAATGATCTACAAAATCTCATTTTAGCTTCCTTGAATCAGTGAAGAAGCAAGAATTGCATAGAAAATCTTATTTCAAAACGTGCATTACAGGCTGCATTAGAAATTTAGAATTGCCTTCTGAAGTTATTGAAAGGTAGGTAGTATAAGTATAATATATTCCATATGGTTTGAACTGAAAGCAGGTGTGGTAAAGTAAGGGAGAATTCCTCATAGCCAAATGCCTTTGAAGAATTATATTCTCAGAAGATTTATAGGGAGCCTGACTTTACTGTGGTGATGAGTTTTACAGGGTGAGATTTTGCAGATATAGTAGAGGAGGAAGTGTACAAAAAACCATGTTGACTGGTGGTTGATTGTATTAGTGAGTGAGATTCCATTCTGTCATAGTTAATCAATTGTAGTTATCTGGAAGGATCATATACAGATAATATTTAAAACTGTTTTTGGAATCATTGTATTCATCTTTAATCCTTCTTCAATTAGGGCAAGAAAGGATCTTGAAAAATTAGTGTACCTTCTAGCCTCCAGGCTGAATTGTATTTCTAAAAATCTGTGTTGACAGTTGTACTAATATTACCTGTGTCTCATAATTACTCATGTATTTCTGGTCTGTGTTCACAGTTCCATGGATAAGCATATCCTTTTATCTAGAGCTGAATATGATTTATTGGGTTATAAGATATGATAAGTTATTACTGGATAGGGATTATTGATTTTTTAAACTCTGTGTATCTTTCCATAAGTTGACTACGGAGTCTAAAATGCTTTGTCAGGTATCACAATTGGGACTTATTTTAGTGGCAAGTGAAAATGGCCTTTTTATTGTCTCAAAGTAGCCAGTTCTTACATCAAATCATTAACAGGTATTCAATACTGGTGTCCATGTAGATACAGGTTCAAGATTTCAGTTTATGTTTAAGCTGAAAAGCTTGCATATTGATTATGTATTTTTTATAAAATGAAATAGGAAACTTTAGAGGGGGAAAGAAACTCTATTTTAAAACATTTTTAAAAGCATATAATTTCTTTCAAATTATAGAAACAGCTATGACAAAGAAGTCCTCTGAAGTTTCAATCTAATCTCATTTTAGAGTAAATTTCAAAGGGGCATGATGAGATTTAACTGGCTGAGAGCGCTAAAGCTTTGTAGAATTTGTAATTGACTACATTTTTGCTGTCAGGCTAAGAATTACAGATTTACATTACTTTTTTAAAGTTAAAAGATTTGGTATATTCATTTTTGTCATAACTAAGAAATCGAGTAATCTTTGCTATGATTTCAAATAGATGCATCAATTTCATTAGCAGTAAAGGTCTCATCATCCTCTTGTTGGAAAGAAGTGGTTTCGGCAGTTGAAGAGTACCTTCCGATCTTTTATTTGTCGTCGCAACATAACAGCACTAAATTTTAAGCTACTTCTATTCCTGTTTATAAGTGATCAGGTCAAAGAAATGATCATAACAATTTCTGAATAATGCAATTATCTATAACTTTCCTTAGGTAAATTGTTTATTAGCTATATGATACTAAAATTATGGTTTGTTTTTTGATACTGATTTTGACATATCATTTCAGAGTTTGATTATTCAGCTGGCTTATTATAGTATAGTCTTTGGCAACTCTTTGTTCCCATGCCTTATGTAGCTCCTAAGGTATATTCTGTTTACTGATCACATCATTAAGAAAAGCATTGTGAACACGTTGGAAAACACTTAAGAGCACTAATAGTTTTGGTACTATTACTGTCATTATTAATATGGATGATGGGATTCTTCAAGCAAAGTATAGAGAGCACTATCTGGGTCCTTAATTGACTTAGCTTGTGCAAAAAGCTATTGTGTTTTTTGAGTTTTAATCTCATTGTTAGAAAGAGTAGTGAAGCCTCATATTATTCTACATGGTGTATAATTGACTCCAATTTATTTGGCCATAAGTTGAATGAATATTTTGGTAATTTTTTCTTTGTTATTAATTAAATTTATTAATGTGTTGAGTTGCCACAAATAGTTGCTTACTGATTTCTGGAATACTTTGGATTTAGAAACCCTAGAAAACTTTCAGATGGTTCATTCTCAATTTATATAAGTTAGAGTACACAGCAGGATTAATTTAGAAACGAATTTCAATTTATTTGTACAATAAATGTTACTTTTATCAGAATAAATTTTATATTTCTAAATTTATATAGCTGAATCTGAAGCTTCACAAACTTAAAATGGTAGCTGAATCCTGCTTAGATTTAAGCTATTTTGACACAACTTTCTTAGGTCAGTTGTTAATTAGCTGTATGTTACTAATTATGGGATTATAGACTATCTTTGATAGAACTGACTGCATTTTTTGCTGAAATTGTAGGCTTGTTAAGGAACAGTGCTCACCTATGTTCAGTCAGCTCTCTTGCTATCTTAAGCCAGCTCCCAAGCTTTTCATCCAGAGATTATAGACCACGCTTAATTGAAAGCTTTGCAAAAACATTAATTGGATCTGCCTTGAGGCACAAAGGTAGATACTCCAACATTTCTTTCTTTTTTTTTGTATTTTTAGGTTTAGAGTAATTTTTTTTTATTTTAATGTTAGAATTCTACTTTATCACTTCTAGGCAATGTGAGTAAATAATGAAAAGTTCTCTTTATGCCAAAACCGGTTTGGCACAGTGGATAGAGCGTCGGCCTGCGGACTGAGGGGTCCCAGGTTCGATTCCGGTCAAGGGCACGTACCTGGGTTGTGGGCACATCCCCAGTGGGAGATGTGCTGGAGGCAGCTGATCAATGTTTCTCTCTCATCGATGTTTCTAACTCTCTATCCCTCTCCCTTCCTCTCTATAAAAAATCAATAAAATATATTTTTTAAAAAAAGTTCTCTTTACTCTGGTTTTTCTCACAGAACTGGATAATAATTGATTTTTTTCTAGATGTTACATAAGAGTTCAAAGTTTCTATAGTTTTATGTGAACAGATTTCTAGAGAAGATTTATATAAACCAGTCACTGATTAGTGAGTTGGTCGTTTTTCTTAGCGCTTAACTTATTTGTGCATTGCTATTAAGTCATTTCATCAGAATATTTTTCTAATGTTCAGAATTTTTAAAATGTAATTAAATTTATTGGAGTGACATTAGTTAATAATCACAATTCTTTTTAAAAGAAGATAAAACAAAGATGCTTGCTTTTTTGTTGTTTGGTCTTTTAGCAAATGATAGTACCATAATAGATTTTACTTGTAGTTTTAATATTGAATATCTATACCTTTTTATTTTGATTAGTGTTGTTTAGAGTGTTGACATTGATAAAGTAGAGGTGCTTTGGATTTCTTTGTAATTTATCAGTGTATTGGGCACAGGTGGTCTTTGTTAGTCACTGCCTTCAATTAAATGACTTTTGTGATTGACCCAAACATTAGCTTTAAACATTAGTTTTCAGCTCAGGATATTGTTTTATCACTTGAAAGGTCATGAATTCTGTTGAAAATGTGTTGTTTCTGCTTAAGAA